TGCTGAAGCACGCAAAACTTGAACTTCTTGTGTATTAAAAAGAGAAGAGTTCTCATGCAACATCGAAAATATCTGACTCAACATAAAGTTATTAAGATTGCAAAGCCTTGAAGTCCCACCAGTCTATTAACTGTTAAGAACTGACTCTGAAACGCCTGCTCGCCTGCTAGAGGGTTAAAGAGATTTGCTATACTGCTTGGCGTCTTGATCATTGTCGATTTTGAAGCAACACTTATTTGCTGGAGTCCGGTAGCCGCGCTTAACCAGAGCTAGTTTTCACAGAGATTTACTGGTCATGACATTCAGATTATTGCTAACTCCGCACGTTTCCTTTCCCTCGAGGGTGCGTGAGGGTCAACAAGCAAGCAGTCTGAATATGATGCTCACGAAATAGCTGGACAGCATTGATGAAATGAAATGTCTACCTTCCCTAAGCCGCGCCTGCCATCTCCTATTTTTCCGAGGACATTCATTAAATTCACTGCCAGAAAAGCCGTCCAATTTAGGAGAAGTATTCGGCGCAGTAAATTTGATAAAAGGAATGCTGAAAAGACAGACTAAACTGGCAACCCGTTTTTATTAAACATGATCAAAGGCTGGGAATAATTCAGTGGGTTATTACACATGTTCTTCAGAAACCACTGTCCGATTTCACGGAAGAGGTCTAACAACAGACTCTGATAGTGGATGTAGCTTTTGAAAAGAGAAGTAGAAAAAGGTGAGGGTCGTAGAATAAATATCTTGCTGATAGGACACTTGTATGCTTAGAATCATGCAAAGTTAAGAGAAACCTAGTCAAGAGGCTCGTCCTCGGAAGATGGAAAGACTTCTAAATAGATCTGCCGAACCATGCCATGGAGGATCCGAAGTGATTCAATGGCTAGATAGGACGAAACACATGGAACAGAGGTCCCACACCTCTGCTGAAGCCTACTGAGCACATAGCAATCAGTGAGAATGGAGCCAACGTAGAAAGTATTTCACAATTACTGGAGTCATTTTTAAGGGAGAAACCGAATTAACTTCCCCTGACTATGACTTAGGGAAAAGTCCGGCGACTGAGACTACACCTTTTCGGCAAAGCGACTGTCCGTAAAGGACCACTGACACAGAAGGATTCGAAATCTTCAGGCCCAGATGACGTACGGGCGAAATCACTGAAAGGGCTCCCCTACGAACTACTCAAACTGTTCTCCGTGTTTTTCCGAGCCTCGATGGAAGTCGACAATTAGTCCGGCCATTGGAAGTCGGCCTGGACTACACCATTTCACAAGGGCAGCAGCAGGGCCTCCTCAACATATTAGAGACCAACCAGCCTCTCTTAGATCGGCTGCAAAACAATGAAAACATGGTTATGCAGGAGTTGATGTGTTTTCTAGAACAACAGAATTTACTCTGATGGCCACCATGGATTACACGGCGACAGGGCTTACTCGACAAACTACCTCTACTGCCTAGAAGGCTGGACTCAGTCGGTTGACAGAGGGAATAAGAGACATGCAGTCCACATAGACTTTAAGAAGACATTATATAATGTACCACGTCAGCGTCTCTTGAACGAACTAAACAGGCATTAGAGATAACATCCTAAAATGAATAAGAGGCATCTCAATTAGCCGCTCTCTCAAATAATCATCGTTCAGCGGGGTCGGCGGTTAGGAGCGGTATTCTCTATGACTCCATTTTTGTTCCATTTATGTTTATTACATATAACTGTAACTGCCTCAGTGAACTGGACAGGGTTTGCGACTGGTACCAAGTTTTGGAATATCACCCACAACTGATCTGACGATTAACACTAACAGGCAGGCCTAAGTCGAGTCATGTAATGATCAAATTACCGGCACTTGCCGTTCAATGTGAACAAGTACAACGTCCTGCTAGTCGGCGGAACCGGATCTTCGAATCACAGAACGTATCACCTGAAAAACATGCCATTACAAGAAGTGGACACTCAGAAGAACTTTGGTTTGTAGATCATGACTTCACGCAAACCATCACTGCACTGAGTAAAGGTAGTTACTTCCACAATGCCAGCCTTGTACCTTGGCTAGAGAGCGTTTTGAACCTTCACTTAAGACTGTTTCGTTTAAGCCTCTCGGACTCTTGTGCGGTCGCGGCTGGAGTTCGCTTCCAAGTTTGGAGACCGTAGGCCATTAACGACCTTAGTGTGCTCAAGGAAGTTTAAAGGCGTGCAGTCAAACTGGCAGAAGGACAGGGCTCGCCACCTCAAGAAAAATGATTTTCAGATCTCGATCTTTGTGCAGCTAGTTACGGAGAGGTACGAGGTGACCTGATGATAATAATAATAATTTTATTCAAGACCCGTAGGGGTCCTTTCATGCATGCATCCGGCATCAAGATTACTGTCTTGTGCTGTGACTTCTTCGAGTTGGCGACCACGACGTACCTGCGAGGACATCCATGCAAAACACGTGCGAATGGGACTAGGTTGGATACGCGGGGGTTTCGGCTCGCCAACGAAGTGGTTGAAGCCTGAAATGCTCTACCTGCAGATGCCACTATATCAGCATCTGTAGACACTCCTGAAGGGATGCAGGATCCATACGGCATTGCATGTCTCAATGAATTCAGCGCAGAAATAACATCGACCTACTTCCCTACCGACGTAGCCTTGACGCCTTATAGCAAAATATATTACTGTCTGGTACAAGTACTACTGCAAGTGTTCCAGTAACGTTTTTTATGGAATTTATCTACTGCCTCTATCTCATTGCGCATAACTATTAACATCTATATCGGCCTTGATGCCAACTGACATCGTACTAGTTTCGCAGTTACTAATGCTTTAACTGTCTACTGCACTACGCACTATCTACCGGTATTGCCAACATTTACGAGCATTCATCCATCCGAGAGGTTCTCCCATTCATTCTACACGTTTTTAATGCTCCTTTTTCTGCATTTCTTGACATATTTCCATTGATCGGAATAAATATAGAGCTAAAAGATGCATACTCAGACTTCACTCAGGAATTTTACCGGGTTGGACGATGATCGACTCACTGTAAGTACTGTTAGGAGGACCTATTATCCAGTAACCGCGGTTATCATTAACTGCATCAAGATTCCTTATTTCTTAGTTTGTGCCTGCCCAACCCGACCTGCGCCATTTCCCGTCGTCTTTCATCACAAGAGGGTTAACCTCTCTACAAGGGGATATTTGACGGTCTATAAAAAACTAATATTCACTAACTTTTTAAACATTTCATATTGACCCATCTATAAAAAATTCGGCGCCTCGGGGGAATTCGAACCCACGACAGCGCGGGGAAGGCTTGAGTACAGCAAACGCCCTAGCCACCTGAGTTAGGAGACCCTACCGAGAGACGTGAGTTCAATCACCTTTGGGTTAACTTACCTGCCCGACCTACTGCAACGTCTGGAATCCACAAAATCTGATACATTAGGTTGACTGCCCAAGCAGGATTTCCTAAGTAACTCACCTAGAATCCACCAGATGACTACTAGGCTCACGTAATTCATAGATATTTTGGCAGATTTTAAATAATTCGTACCAGTAATGAATCAGTTATTCAAACATGACATACCTTGCTGCCGACTGGACACAATTAGGAATATGTTTATGTATTAGTTCCACAAAATATGTTTTAATTTGTAATAGCGTCAAAAATTGATGGAATAAATTCATGATATCTATGCCTTCATTTTTTGCCGGCGGCCGGTAAGAATTTCTTTCAAATGTCTTCCCAACCGAAAAAGTATTTTAGCATTTCTATTATCATTTCAAAACATAGATCGGACTCAGTATGTTAATATACAGACCTGCTTTTGAACAATCTAAATGCACTTGCGCAAAGTTCAACTACGTAGGCATTGTCGCTTAAATGGTTTCCGTATCATCAGCGATTCTAGGTGAAATGCGACAATAAGACAGTTTGCGCCTGCCCAACCCGACCTGCGCCATTTCCCGTCGTCTTTCATCACATGAGGGTTGACTTCTCATGTTTTCGTCTATTTTTACTGCAATTCTGGCTGCAACCAATAGGTGACAACCCACATCTCAAATATTCATCAGACTAACGCCATTAAGAAATAACAATCAAGATTTTAAAATATCCTAGTTAGGCGAAATGGAAGGAAAGTGACAGTTTGTCCGTTCTTCATGAGAAAACTTCCTTACTCAGCCTGTCCTTGCCTACAAGAATTTGCGAAATTTTTGATCTCTGCGCCGACAACTACCGACCTTCCCATTCGGGGCACCGACATGTCGCCCAAATAAAGCAGACATGAGGGCGTTTTCCTTGAACTTGAGGTCTACCTAGTTGGGTACCGTTCAGCACCTCAAAACATTAAATTGCAATCGTTGCCACATAACTTTTGGACCACAAAACATCTAAGCTTTTAAAGATAGCACCGAAAAAGAGGCTGACTGTCGAATGATAAGTAAAGAGTCTTTATTGGGACCCATGAGGCCGGCATGGACTTCAAATGACGGCTGCCAGTGGATGGAACTTGCAGTTAAGTGGCATATTTCTGGAAGATGCGGATACACTTTTGTTCCCTAACCGTCTAAGGAGTCCCATGTGAGCCCAATACCCAAACACAAGTTTACAGGTCTCCACCCGGTAGTATCTGCTGGAAACATGGGCCAAAACAGGAAGCTTCAGAAAGTATCATGTTAGGTTTGCACATTTTCGGTGGCTCCTCACACATAGAAAGCGTGCACAGTATTGTAAAATATCTGGCGAGACGTGGTTCGATAAATTAACCTGTTTTTGCTGACAAAAAGTAGTCCAAGGGGGGGGGGAGGTTGGCGAGGCCGATGGGACACAACCCACGGAATACCCCAATGCTCGAGCGACCAGTTGAATCTTACAAACGACAAATAGACATAAAGAATTACGATTTCTGAACTACGGCCAAACCAATTTATGATCGAGGGCGGCCCCTACTTGAGCTCTCCATCATAAACACGAGAACTCCGAGTTTTAGTGAGCAAATTGGCAAAGCTTTATTCACAATTCGACCTCCCCGAGGTAAATCTTTTTATCGCTGCCACAGGATAGCAGGATGGGTTCCAGAGGGTGGAAGGCGGTCTCATTCACGGAAGCCGAGTGTCCGGGCAGCTTGTAAATCAAGTGGCGACTGTTGGTGTCCCAGACGTAGACGAAGCGGTCTCCGCTGCCGCAGGTCACTCGTCGCCCATCCGGCGACCAGGCACATCGCAGCAGATTCTTCTCAAAAGTGTGCATATGCCCGGTGAATATCTGGGGGGAGGGGGGACGGTGGGGAAAACAAGTAATGTGGTGGATCAATACCACAGAAATGGCTGAGTCCCTGCATGCAGTGAGTAAGAAAAAGTCAGTAAACCGGCAACGCAGGTGAGCCCATCTAATTGAAGTGGTGAGAGAAGGGCAGACGTGCAGAATACTGCGATAAGAAAACAACAAGACAGTTGGGATAGCAGAAATGCTCAGGGACAGAAAACACACAAGAATCACTGTAAATACACCAGAAGGGCAATGGTAACATGTGTTTTACGATGAAGGTATTGATGAGTCTGTGCGGGCGTCTAACGGGACCAATCCGGGTGCGTTGGCAGGGTCTGAGCATTGGTCAGCGATAATGCCTTCTTTGGCGTTTTATATTACCTCTTGACCTTCTGTATTCGGCAGCCTTCGACAGGACAACGGGCCCGTGGCCCAGTGGTTAGAGGCGTTGGACTTCTAACTAACAGGTCGCGAGTCCGAGGCCCATGTGCTGCACACTCCGGGGTTGGGCATGACTATCTGACGACGGCTAATAAGCCAGAAATGGCCATTCCAGTCGCCCTTGTCTTTGTCAGTAATAACATGCTGCCTATTACAGCTCGCGTTTTCATGGTAACGCAACAACCATGTCTGACTTGCTCACAGGCTTCCCAAGTCTCTCGGTTGGACTCCAAGTCCTTAACTAAGGTTCCCAGTGCGTCCCTGCACTGTCCTTTTTGTGCAATTTGCTTGAGAGCATCACTAGCGGCGTCACAACAGAGTCGGTGCCCTTAAGTCAGCGTCTCAACGCGGCCTTTCAGCCGCAGTTGGAGCCGCTTCGGTGTAGCCTAGATGCTGAGCACAGCCGTTGCCTCCAAGACCCGAGTGGCCGGGATTCGTTCCTGCTACCTTGACCTCAGGACAGGCGAATGAAGAAAGCAAAAGACGCAAGTGACTTTACAGCCGAAAAGAAGGCCTACCCGTGTGCAACGTTCTGCGGGAGCGTAGGGGCGTACATCCCACATCCTGAGGGTGTTGTCCATGGCATTGGAGAGGAGGTGGTTACCGTCAGGGGAGAGCGAGAGTGCGGTCACAGTGTCAGTGTGGCCGTTTAGTCGCATGCTGATATCTAGCTTTCGGAGGTCCCAGCCCTTCACGATGTTGTCGATTCCGCCGGAGAAAATCATTTCCGCGGTGTCACTAAAGGTGACCGATAGAACCTAGAGCAAAAGGAGGCGGGAGAAAATTGTAACAGTTTAGAGGTGATTTGAAAATAAGGAATGGTTTGCAGGAAAAAAGTTATCATCGATGAAATTTTGCGGACTTCGGTCAGAAAGTCTAATGAATAGAAGCGAATAGAAATAAAAAATGGCTCACTGAATTAGCCAGCCCTGGACTGGTCGGTCTCTACATTCTTTTGTTGCCTGGAGAGGTGAAGAACTTCTAACACTGTCAGTAATCACCATGGCAAAGGGTAGTCGGACCTCTGTGGTGGTTATTTTGCTTCCTCAGCTGATCAGCTAGTTCTCTGGCTCTTTTTTCGATTTCCTCATGTTAACTGCTACCGGCTAGTCCTCGTCTTTGCTTAGTCGCCGATGCGAGATTGTGTAAGCCAGGGGAGGCCGGTGTGCCTACTGGCAAAACCGACATCAGAAAGTGTTGTCTCTAATATGGGTAGTTCAATATATGAGTTGCTTTGGCCTATGATAGTCTCTTCCTGAAGGTCAACGTGTGGCCAGCCTTCTCCATGTGATTGCGAGTTGGAAGGGGGGATACGATACTCTTATTGTCAATCTGTGCTCGTGCTGGCGAGTCTGCAATTTTCACCCGGTCCTCCTGACCTGATTGCACTTGCCATCATTGCAACATACTTTATTGGCAACTGTTGAGATCTAGGCAGGCGGTGGCGTGCCCTTAAGTTGCATCACACAGCGAGGAGTCGTGGCTACTTCAATGGGTTGCTGCAGTTGAGAGACCGTCTTGGAGGCCGCGCCTCCAACCTCGGGTGTTCCACACTTCTGGGTTGGGCATGACTGGCTGACGACGACTAATAGGCCAGAAATGGCCATTCCAGTCTCCCTTGCCTTTGTCGCTAATAAAATACTGCCTATATCATGCGTCGCTGTGCGGCTGCTGGTTGGGCTCGAGAGAGTCCATAAAGCACAACGGAACGAGTGAGTTCTGTAAGAACGATCGGTGAGCGCCCCCTACCATCATTGTTATCTGCTGTCCGGATCATAGCTGTGTATGTGGCAAAGAAGAAGCGGATCTGGCGCATGATAGAGGCTATCAGGCACGAGTTAGCAATATAGGGTTGGCAATGGGACCATGCGGAAGGAAACCCAAATCGTTACAACACGCTACAATCGACAGCGGAAGACATAGGTAAAATACGGGGAAGACTAGAGGTGGGATGTCGAGTAGACGTTCGCAAGTGCCTTTAGGCGACCATGAAGCAGTCAGCATCTGGATGTCAGTGGTAGACAGAGCAAAACAGGCCACCACAAACAATCACGCATGAAGCCGATCCGGTCTGTTTTCTAAAAAAATATGTTGGCAACGTTTAATGGGTACCAGGCGGGGCCAGGTAAATATGCGGTGCTACTTCCAATCCATAAGTGCGACTCCCCAGCCCGGGTAATCCACACAGGTCAGGGGTGAGGCGAAGCAAGTGGTCGACTTCAAGCAGGGGTTCGGGAGCGAGTAAAAATTTGGATCCGTTCCACGCAGATCGGGCCCTGACACTAATGATAATGATGAAGATAAGACTGGAACAGTCAGCAAAAATGGTAACACTAACACGCAACCTACCTGATAAGTATTTTGGAAGTTCTGGACCTCCTTCTTTACTCGCCGATCCCACAGGCGAACAGTTCCGTCATCGGAGCCGGAGCAGATGAGTTGCGGTCCACGTCGAGCGATGTCCACGCTATTTACAATGTTCTGGTGGCCTCTAATGCGCTTGACTCGCTGACAGGTCTCCAAGTCCCATATGGCCAGAGTTTTATCAGAGCTTGCACTATAAAGCAACTCTCCATCCGAGGAGATCGCGAGATCGAGAATGGCTCCTCCGTGCCCTGAAAGGGTGGATGTGAAGGGCACAGCGTAATTTGGTAGTTAAGTTTAATACTAGACGACGAGAACTGCAATTATTCTGAATGATAAGAACTGTTAGAACACAATGACCCTCGGCCCGATTGTAGAAACTGGTAGAAAACTGTCGCAAATACTGTGACCTTCGTCCTTTCATATACAAAACGATTACTGGCAGAAGCAAAACTCTATAAAGTGGACCTAACCAATAGACATGGGATGAGGACAACAGAGCCAATGCTTTGACGGTCAGCCTCCGTCATCCTGGACTGATGGTTAGGTTGCAATGGTTCCATCTTAAAGCAGCGTTCAGGATACGTTCAATTGTGAGAACTGGGCGCGGCGCTCAGTGAATGATAGGAATGCCAATGCAATGAATTCGGAAGTCCCACCCTCCCCCCCTCCCCCCAAATAGTAAGAACGGTAATGGAGGTCAATGGTTCTAAGCAAAATCTGATATCTATTGCGAACCTCACAGAATACTGACAAAGTCCCTTAAATGCGCCTAAATTCGTGATAAAAACGACAAGCATTGAAGACAACCTCGAGCTAATGAACAGGACCATTGGATCGGTTTTTTATTTACCAAAACGATATCGCCTGAGAAACAAACGTTACTTAAATGGTGTATGTGGTCGAACGTCTTTTTACAGCTGGATGAAAGGAATACTGTGACGTTACAAAGAAATTTGATAATTTAAGGCCTTAGGACACGGACACAAGACGCCCATCCAGGAAACATGGGTATCAACCAACATGTAAGGCTCAAGAAATAAAAACAATCGTGTCTGATCGGGCACACAAGAAAAGCATGTTAAAAATAAATTGTCAAACAAAATGATCGTGCGCGCTAGCTCAAGGTGACTAACGGCGATTTTCAACGCGACATGGCAATAAACACAAGACGGTACTCGTACAACCATGCGATTACAATCCAGCAAGAATCTCACTCTAATAGTTGTTCAGGTTGAAAATAGTCGACTACGAGGTCACACTTCCGTGTTGTAAGCCAATCAGGAATAAACAAGCGTTCAAGTCACAGGCGAAGAGGGATTATCACGACCGTCGGCTAATCATTTCTCCGGAACTTCGCGGCACGATGGCCAACCAGAGATGGCAACTTGGACAATTTGCCGGACGTCAGATCCTTCGTCGAAGTCGGTGAGCATATTTTGGCAAAAGTGTGGATGCGGAAAGTAGCGGTCTGTGGATTAAACGCACTTTCGGGAAAGTTGGCTGGTTTTCCTTACTTCTGACTTTATGGCACTTTTGTCTGACAGATCGTCTACTGATTACTTTCCGTCCAAGACTTCCGCATGAGTGATTTATGTTACCAACAGCAAAACCGATTAGGCTTGGTCACATAGGTGAGGCGGAAAAGGCACGAAGCAAAGAATAAATAAATAGCAAACGAAAAGAGAAAAATACCTGTCATTACAGCGATGTTCTGGCATTCTCCATAGGTTTCCCACAGGAATATCTGACGATCGAAGCCTGCACTGACGACGTAGCAACCCTCACAGGGGACAAATTTTGCGCAAAACACCTCCCCATCATGGCCTGTAAGTAGCATGTTTGGGCTAAGCAGGCTAGAAGTACGACGCATGCTTCCAGGAAGGCCAGCCGGAATTATGTGGCCCATAGACAGACGGTTTGACGGAAAGGGCGCCATAGCAAATGCGTCATCAGCCTTATTCCGTTTGGTGGGGACAGGAACCACCGACATTCCCGGGAAGGGTCGCTTAAGATCCATCGCCATTGTGCTGAGTTTAGTTTGGGAAACGAAGATCTACGCAAGCGTCGATAATCAAGCGTCTGGAACGCCCTGAAAATGTAAGGAAAAGTTGTAATGAAAAGTTGGCGAGGCGATAAAATCGCCTTCAGTTTTTGAATCAATTGCTGTACGGCAGGTGACCAATTGTGGCTGCTAGAATTATCCAGTAGAGCAAACTCGACTTTCGGCACAGATAGATGATGACACAGGACACTCGAAAAAAGGGGGATCAAAGCGCTTAACTCGATAGGACAAAGGAACAGAGCTAAATGTCTATCAAGAGGAACGAAAAGTTCGTACAGACAAGTAATTTTCAGAAGGAACCACTGTAGTACGAATGACGGTAGCTGACACACAGATAGTCAATACATATACAGAGGTCTCACCGAAAGATAAAACGAGGGCCTTATAGCAAAGGTAACTGAAAAGAACCACTCAGATAAAATAATAAAAAAGGTATGGTGTGTAACCCTCCTGGGAGAAGTGTAGTTAGCAACAGTTCTAACGCCAACCATACCCATGCCTGTAATGGGTAACCCAAGCATTTAGCCCATAAGCCTTTAAGGAGAATTCGAACGGAACCGTAACCCTAAACCAAGTCTTAAAACCCCAACCCCAACCTATAACTTTAATCCTAAACCAAAAACTCAAGTCGCAGCCTCAACCCCAAATCCGAACCATAAGCCAGGCCTAGAAACCTTGGGTCAGACAGGGGCAACTTTGACGTCAACAACGCTAGACAAGGTCAAAATCTGCGTATCGTATAACTCCTTTCGCCAGGCAAACCGTTATGAACCACACTTACCTGCAAAAGATAAGAAGGTAGATTGTTGAACAATCAACTAGGAGAGTTACATAACATACCCTCATCAAAATAAATAAACGTAACTTTAAGGATTTTCTGCACACAAAGACTGAAAACTACAAAAACACAGAAACGACTTCCATTTCCTACGCTACCCTTACTCACTGGTAGCCATATTTGGTGTCGGCCACCTGTTTCGTTATTTCCAACCAGTGGCATAGCCCCGCGTAAGTAATAAGCCCTCCTTCAAAGAATACGTGAAGATTTCGGTTGATCTCCCGGGAGGACCGTATTTAAAATCCCGACTACATCGTGTGATCACCTCATTTTCAAAAAGCCCGCTCGCCTCTTTCGGTCGAAACAACCATATTCGAACAAACTTCAAAGTGATTTTGTCACCGAAACCACAAAGTAACTGTCGGACAAACGTTAAACTAAAAAAAATATGCTCTCTAACCAAATTCTGCGTGCTCCTTCGTTCATTACAAAAGCTTCTAACTGACCTTTCTGTCAGCTCCAATCGCACGCCTTGCAACTTTTATCCTGTCTAAGTTAGACGTCCACATATGGCAAGTTGGTTACGTCACGAATATTCGTCTTCCAATGCGACCGGACAATATCAAACTCTCGAAGTCAGTCTAATAGATTAATTAATATGCAAGCTATGCAGATATGCGTGCTCCTTAGTTCATTACTCAGTAATGGTTCGATGGACCGATCCAGCGCCCAGGGGGGTGCTCTCTCTAATTCTGTAGAGTATGCTGCAACTATTAGTGTTTTAGATATCCGAAACACTAAAGGCTCCGTCAAGTGTCTGGCGTGGCGACAAATGGGCAGTTGGTTGCTAGAAAAGCAACCAGAAGTGCGAATTCGTCGGGTAGAACACAGTATCAACTATTAGTGACCTACAGATAGCGGATATCCCCGGAGTGCGCAGACCGTGTCACCCGTACAGAATTACTGTAATAGAAAAACCGCAAATTCAGTTTAATCTTCGGGCTGATCTTACGCCGACCTCGGCGGTCCCAATTGATGACTGAGCCTCTTGGCTTCTAAGCCGAATAAATCCGAGGATAGCTTACCATGCCACGGGCAAAGTAAAACTAACTTGGAAAAAAATACACAGGGAGCCTCGTAAATAGATGTCAACATACAAAAATAGGAAATAGAAGATCCTTTGGACTGGAAAATAGACATGGAATAAAGAAGTAAGGTCAAGGAACAGACGCAAGAAAAAAGCTAATGGTAACACCGAGGTTCACGTCACCCCATGAGGAGAGAAATAAGCATTCTTAGTCAGGCAATATATTCATTAGATCATTTTTTCAGTTCAGTGATTAGGAAGACAGTAGGGGAGCCGAGATGCCTAAACGCCAGATAAATTTACCATAGATAATAAAAAGCGCATGTTAGGACTAAAAGTGAAACCCCCACACGACGCCTTAAGTCCGCCTGGCAACCCTTACTGGTTAATACAGCCGTTAAGAGGAAGGAAGCAAACCGCCTGCGGCAGGAAAACTATGTTCACCGAATTTGTGACAATGAGGCAGGATGTTGGGCACTTGTGGATTCAAAAAACAAGCATACGCAGGTGCAGGGAACTGGAATTTTAGCTAACTCAGTAAAACGTCAACATACACTAAGTGAGTGGAGAATTATGGTCAATAAGAACAAGTAGAGAATAAGTTTCACACCATAAGATAGTCCTTATTACCACGGAGAGGAAATGTTGGAACGTAGTAATCATATTAGCGAGTGTCCGAGGAGTTTGTAAATTCTGGAACGCAAGCCTTTACAAGGACAACGAGAATAACAATCAAAACACATTTTATGACGGTGAGTAAATCGTGGTGGTTGGAAGGCGAAGACAGCGAAGCACTACACCTGACAGAAGTCAACCACCTTATCCCAATAAACGGCAGGTCCTACCCACAATTCTACGAAATTTGTAGTGGCTATCCGATACCATAATGAGCTAATACCCTGTTTGGCTTTGAATAAAAAGTGCAGCTTTTGCAAGCCAAAACCTCAGGAGGCCTGTGGCAAACTGCTCGCCGGTACTAGCGAAGCAAGGAAAATCGACACCCAACTCCGCGATGACTGGTCAAGCACAGCCTGTCAAAAGAGTGAAGGCAAGTCAATATTGCTTGCAAATACCAGTACGCAAAATAGCTGTGTGTAACTGATGCCAACTTTTCGGCGAGTGAAGCATGAACAGATCGCAAAGTGCACTTAGTACCTCGAGAGAATGTGCTTATTTCACTAAAATTGCCCGAATATATAAAAATTGTGTCATGATAAAAAAGAAATACAGTCATTTTGAACGAAGACGCAAAAACGGCACCCATCAAGAGAACATCAAGTCTGCATCAACTACGGACGAAGCTAAACCAACCGCCAGTCGTACGAATATAGTAAAACCAAATTAAAGCAGTGACATAAGAATTTCACAACTCTCGACGATTGCAGAGTTTTGGGTGGCACCTCTAGAAACCAAAATGTATACGAGATTTAAAAAGCACAACGAATTTACCATAAAAGATCGGACAAGGAATTATCGAAGCAAGCATACGAGATATAGCTAGGTCGCTAAAATCGGTGTAACCGTGGACGGCAACGGGAGAAGCTCAGGAAATAGCTGTAACTGAGTTGTTTAACTAGGTTAAGGCGGGCAATACTCCTCCCACGTAACATCTCTAATTACATAAATTGGGCTTAAAATGATGACGTCCGTCCATAAAGCATGACACCAAGGGAGAAAAGACGTCTTTTTCTGCCATCCAAGGGTACTTTTGGCCATTTCTTCTGTCCTAGGCTGTCAGAAATAGTTGATTATGTCCTCAGAGTCACACTCCTAAGGTCTCGGATTTTGGTGATTCAAAGGCCTATATTTGAGGGATGTCGATGTGTGAAAACAAAGTTGGGGTATCCTTGTGAATCTATTTTGTATTTTTTACCCTAGGAAAATAGGGGCAAAGGAAATACTGGGCTGATTTCACCCCGAGTGACTGTAAGAAATATCATGCGCGTGCTGACCCTTTAGGGTGTTTATAAAGATATGACAAGCTTCCGACCAACTTCATCCTGCACGCTTTAGTGTGGTTGTCAGATTTCCGTAAGCTATCAAAGTCACTGGACACATTTTCAGTGAATGTCAGTCCAAGAAAGCGCCCTGGATCAGCAGTCTCACCTTTTTGTTTTTGTAAAGACTAATAGTCGAATTTTTCAATTACTCGTTAACCAATAAACACACCGAGTAATGATTGACAGTGGCAGCAAAATGGACAAACCTTCAAAACGTCCCAGTTTGCAGAACAACAGAAGGCATACAACTGAATTTTTAATAGCAAATGCAAATACATAGCAAATAGCACATGTTTAACGCTGAGCTGAAGAGAGGTGAATGTATTCAGTAGGTTGTTATACTAATAATAATACTTGTATTTAATGCCAGTTTGCAGGCAGTGTCAGGGAAAAGTTAAGCACAAATCCGGCCAGCAGTGAAAAAAACTCCTGACACAAATGACACAAATAAAGTTGACGGTAGGTTTTATAGTTTGGAGGATTCCGGAGAAAAAAACTGCGGCCCATGAAACGACGACAGTCGATAATGGGAGGGGTAGCACTACATCGGATATTTTCAGTCGCTATTTCTTTTCATGCAGTCGAGACTGGACCAAACAGAAGCACTGAGGAACAGCTGTCGTTGTTGGCTAAAGAAACTGTCCTTGGTCAGACCGGCCATAAAGATCAGAGACCACCAGACGCCATCGCTACGGTACATTCGATCGATGGATTCAGCATCCAAAATTTGTGGGAGTTTTTCTGAATGCAAAAAGCAAATAATAGTTCCCTTTAACAAAGGATAATTTTGCAAAGTTTTCACATACCTGGGGAATCTATTCCAGGAACAAGAATGAAGTAAAGAATCGTACGAGTGACATTTCAAGTCGACTTGCATATACGGTTTTAATGGACAGTTTGACAGTCTTCCTGTGTTTTATGTATGCAAAACAGAAGGGTAATTGGAATTAGGACGTGTACTGAGTACGATAGACAGCACAAGTGAGGAGGCTTGTGGGAACGGCCGGGTATATGGCAAGGGGGACTGTCATAGGCTAATTGGTGGCCAATCAGCACAAAGAAGGTGTGAACAGGGGGCCATGACCTTGATCGTTCG